TTCTTCCGGTGAAGGTGAGCTTCACTACTGAACAGTTGGCCAAACTTTATGTTCGCAAGATTGTGAGACTTCACGGGGTGCCCGAGAGTATCATTAGTGATAGGGACTCGAAGTTCACATCTCGGTTCTGGGAGGTGCTGCAGGAGGCTTTTGGTATGTAGTTGAGACGAAGTATAACCTATCACCCTCAGACTGACGGACAGACTAAGCGGACCATCCAGACCTTGGAGGATATGTTGAGGGCTTGCACTTTGGAGCAGGGTTCAGCATGGGATAGGTACCTACCATTGGTTGAATTTTCTTATAACAACAATTTTCATGCTAACCTGGGCATGGCACCCTACGAGGCGTTGTATGGTAGGAGATGTCGGACTCCTACCTGCTGGTCTGAGGTTGGAGATAACGAATTGTTTGGCTTGGACTTTGTCCAAGATAACACCCTGCAGATTCAGATGATCCGTGAGAAACTGAAGCAGGCGCATGATCGCCAGAAGAGTTACTACGATGTCAAGCATTGTCCACTGGAGTTCAGTGAGGGTGAACACGTGTTTGTGAGACTTTCACCTGTCACCGGTGTTGGTCGGGCACTCAGAGTGAGGAAGCTGAGCCCGCGGTTTATTGGGTCATACCAGATCCTTGGTAGAGTAGGACCTGTTGCCTACCGGCTTGCCTTGCCTCCGAACTTGGCCAACATCCACGACGTGTTTCACGTGTCTCAGCTTCGGAAGTACGTAGCAGATCCTACGCACGTGGTGAAACCGGATGATGTGGAAGTTTGGGAGAACTTGAAAACTCCCGTCGGACCACTCAAGATTCTCGACCGTGGCAAGAAGAAGCTGAGGAGAAAGATCATTCTGATGGTCAAAGTGCAGTGGGCCAGATGAACTCCTGAGGAGTGTTCTTTGGAGCGAGAGGACGAGCTTCTCCGGCAGTACCCCGAGTTTCGGGACAGATATGTTTCTGATTTTGAGGACAAAATCCTAAAAAGGTGGGGTGAATGTAAGAACCCGCACCGTTAATTAAGGAAATTAATTAATTAAATGTGAGAATTAGGAAATAATTTCATAATTGACCCTAATAATTATTATGAGGCTTTAATAATTATGGTAAGTGATTAAGAATGCCGAAAGTCGCTTTTCGGACAAAAAGTGCAGATACCGGTTCTGCTACTCGGTATAAATGCGTAGTAGTGAAGTATCCTGGAAAAATAAGTTTCAAGTCACAATAATGAGAACTGGTGCCAGAACTGATACTGGTTATGGAAAAGCGCGTACCGGAAATGTGCTGCGAAAAATAAAATAAAAATATGATAAATCTTGTAAAATTGAGTAGGTTCAGAATCCTAAGTTTGGGATCAAAATGCTAAGCGTAGCAATTAACGATAATATTGTGTGTTTAATTCCTAAGTGACCTATAAATACACTTATTTGCACAAAACCCTAGACATTCCTATTGTTCTACGTGAGTGTGGTGGCTGACCAGCTCTCCCTTCTACTGTTTCATTGTCTCTTCTTCCTCTTGGTGAGCCTTAGGTTCCATTCTCTACCTTTTTCCTTCATCAAAGCTCTTTGTGTGAGTGAGACTAAGCCTTAGGAGTGGGTGAGAGACTTTGTTTCTGAACTTAAGCCTCTGTTTTGTTGAGTTTTTGGGCTGAGTTCATAAGCCTTGTGGAGGGAGTCTTGTCATGACTTGATGATGCTCCTAGAAGCCTTGTTGGTGTGAAAGAATCAAGCTTTATTGGTCCTTTTTCGTGCACCTTGTGGGGGTCTGAGTTGAGGAGTTGTTGGTGAGCTCCAAGAGCAGCCTTTGCTTCTGTTTTGAAGCCTTGGGTATGTCCCTTCACTTAATCATGAGTTTCCTTGCTTAAAAGATGAATCCTTGGCATGTTAAGGAGTTAAACAAGTATGTAATCTGTATATGAACTTAAAGGAGGATAAAAATGCATGCTTTAACGTTGGAATGGGTTAAAAACCCAACCTTGTAAGTGGTATTTCGCGAAATGCATATTCTGAGTTTCTGCCGCGAAATATCCGAATATTTGGTTGTAAATATCTGGATACTGATATCCGGATATGGGGTTTTGAATATCCGGATATTGACATCCGGATTTTTCCAGTGAGATGTCCAGATATTGATATCCGGATATTCCCCCGAGAGATATCCAGATATTGATATCCGAATATTCCCTCGACAGATATCCGGATATTCTGGGTGTTCGTGAACAGTGAAGGTATTGTTCATACAGAATGATATCTTTGGGTTTGTGGACCCATGATGGGTTATGTTGAACCTCTGTAATAATTAACTAAGTCAGAATCTAATTGATTAAGGGCTTGTGGCTTTGTGAGGAGCCTAAAGACGTAAAACATAAGAGAAAGGCGTTGTCTTTTTGAGTATGCTTATAGAGTATGAATAGTGAAGTTATAATTAGTCTAAACAGTTTGTGATATTGTTGTTTTTGGACTTTGAGATTGTGTGGACTATTCGCTTGGATAGCTAGCTTGCAAGGTAAGCTTTTGTGTCCTCGGTTTAGCCATTGTTGGTTCCACCATGTCCCATAGGGGTATGGTTATATGCATGATGTTGTTTTCATGATATATTGTTTGTGAAATGCTGTTGAGCTGTTATATGCAAGTGCCTTTATGATATGCAAGTGATGTTCCACCTATCGGTAAGCCTGAGTATGTGGTACATACAATAGGGTGAGGCTGTGGGCGAGGTGCAAGCGGTGTTCCTTGTACTAACTGTAGGTAATAGACGTATTCCTGCATTTCTCTGGCCAGTAGAATAGTTGTGACACACATGGCATGAATATCTGTTGCACGGCAGAGTTTTGGAACTTATACTGTTAAATGCTTTTGAACTTATATTGCACATGTAAGTGAGCTTGGGGTGGAAGATCATTGAGGACCCCTTGCCTTACTGAGATTTCTTGTTTAGAGATCTCACCCCACGTTTGGGGGCGCTTATTTCAGGTTCAGGTAACCAGGGGGTTGATACCTCTAGTGGCAGGAGGTCAAAGCTTAGTTGATTGATGATATCTGCTTATGCTGTTTTGCTGTTATACTTGGATGCTGGATCCTGTTTACTTCTTTTTTATTTTAGCTTCATTTTTGGATTACCATGTTGAGACTCTGTTGTTATGTTGCTATTTGGTGAGCATGGGGATTGTTCATGCCACGTTGACTTGGTTATGTCTTAGTCTGGATTCCAGATGTAATAATGTATCAGGATATTGTCTGGACTACGTGTGGTAGGTCCGTGACTTAGATACTCACTTATATTTGTATATTGAGGTATTTCAGTTAGATGTCTTATTGCAATTTACATACCGGCGATGTTTTATGAAAATTCATTAAGTAATCAACTTGGCTAAGATTAATGACGTCATAATTGAAAAGAAAAAGATATTCCGCAATTTTTATTAAGCGTGGCTTAATACGATGACATGTTAACAAATCGGGTATACACGGGGTGTTACAAACATCGTCTTGCCGTGAAAGGATAGAGAAGAAAGGGGATGAAGCATAAATGGCATAGAAAGGGAAGAATGAGATTTACTTAATACATCATTTTTTTTATCAAGGCTAATCCCACCTTCCTATCTCTGATTAAGTTATACATCATTTTGATGTATTAAGGAAACTGATGTATAGTATTATACTATACAATGGTCACACCAAATAACATAAAAAGTCATAATATATAGTATAAACTTATACTATCAGGCCTTATACATCATACCGAACAGGCCCTAATAGTGAGAAAGATCCTCCCCCTAAGTGCAAGTATCTTTCTTAATAAAAAGAAAAGTCCTCAGTGGAGGACCAATTCCCACTTCCAAAGTGTTAATAATATATACCCTAATATGAATACAGAAGCTGACGTGGTTAATACTGATAGTTGTTGCAAAAATAAAATGAAGACACACGTGGATAAAGAGAAAGAGCACGTAGACAGATGCGCTAAACCACTTTCTGTTATTTGTTAGAGTCTCTTTTTGCTGTTAGTGTATCAGTTACTATATTTTGCTTCGTGTATAAGCTTTGTATCAGTTCTTCACCTCGATATATATGGTGAGAACTTTTCTGTACATTCAGATTTGCATAATGAAGAATTCGAAGATTTCCAAGACAAAGACTTGAGTGGATACATATTCCCACTACCAACTCATGATAAACCGTGTGAAGATATTTTTATACTACTGGTTTCTTTTCTATTTACAGCTGTATAGGTACATATGCCCACTACCAGCTGTATGGATGCATATGCCTCAATTTCTTTTTTTTCTTTTTTTTTGATAATTTTTATTGGGCTTCCGTAATTCCATTTTCTATTGCTCTTTTTCATTTTGTGGTTCCTTTGCATGATTCTTCCGTTGTGAATTTCACATCTGTGAAACTGAACTTTGATGGAAGCGAAGATTGTGCTGTGTCTCACCCCCTTTTTTTTTGCTGTCTTTATTTTTCAAGTAGTTCAAATTATGTGTCCTGCTAATTGCTGACTCTGAAGTTTGAAGATTTGGACTATTGCACAAATTATGCTTTTTCCTTTTACTTGACATAGCAACAAGTATGAAAACCGTTTTCATGGACCATCTTGACATGTAACTTAAAAAGAATAATTAAGTGCTCAAAGACTTTAGTAGTTTGTTGTACTTGATATTCTTCCATGCAATAAAGACCGTAAAGTTTGAGATTTGTGTTAAGATTAGTGATCTCTTACTAAGATTTATTAATTTTTATGTTAAAAAGGATGATGAGGAAAAAACTTTACCTCATTTCTTAAGATGGTTTGTACATAAACATCATTTCTACACGGGAAAAAAAAGGTACTTTGCTTCATTGTTATAAAAAATCATTGATCATTGACTAGATTGAATAGCATACATATTTTAAATCAAGAGTCCTTGGACAATTACTCACAAATCTTTTATATTTCGATGTCAATAATTAAATGGCGAGTCCTATGAATTGAATTCGCTCACATCTTTTCGTGAAAGTAACCCCTTAATATGTTCGCTTCTGTATGTCGTCATCTTCTATGAATGAAGGTGTAATATTATTATTCTCCAAAAAAGAAGGTGTAATACTATTTGGGGATCTGGGAAAATAATAAATAGGTTAACAGCTAATTAATCTCAAAACCACATAAAAATAGCTTACTTCTCAATAGAAACCTCTCTTCACCCTTCAGTTCACTTTGTATCCACAGCCACCATGGCTGGGCTCTACCAAGATGAACATTGCCATTGTCATCATCGTCATCAAAGTCACCACAAAGATTGCTCTGAGACCATATTTAATGCTACTGAAATCAAGGTTTACTCCAAACCGGAAGAGAAGTACCACAACTCTCTGGACCAGCTTGGTCAACTCCGATCTCTTGCTGCTGATACTTATGCTTTGGTAAGTTATATTTGATTTCTACGACAACATAGTACGTACTCATTCAATTTGAATCCTAATAAAGATATTTTAATATTTTTGTATACTTGTTAATTTGATTGCATACTAAATTTATATTGAGCTTGTTAATATGCTTTTTTAGTTGTATTCTTTGCCATTTATTTTTAAAAGTAAAATTTATCAAATAAGATGATGATTTTGTTCAATCTTTTGTACATGTATATAGTGTGAGAAGAACAAGGTAGGTAAAGTTCCAAGGCATGCCAACGGGTACGAGATAGAGGAGGAGAAGATTGTAGTCGCGGCTGGAGCTGATGTATTTTCCTTCAAATATGAGATGAAAGCGGGGAAGAAAGCTGATGGACATGAGAAAAAAGTGGAGAATAAAACTGATGGATATGAGACGAAAGTGGAGAATAAAGCTTATGGTTATGAGAAGAAAGCTGATGGATATGAGAGGAAAGTAGAGAAAAAAGCTGATGGATATGAGAAGAAAGTAGAGAAGAAAGCTGATGGATATGAGAAGAAAGTGGAGAAGAAAGCTGATGGATGTGAGAAGAAAGCTGATGGATATGAGAAGAAAGTGGAGAAAAAAGCTAATGGATGTGAGAAGAAAATGGAGAAGAAAGTGAAAGCTAACGAATATGAGAAGAAAGTGGAGATGTGCTGATGGTGAGAGAAGTGGAGAAGAAAAAAACATCAGGATAATCATGGAAAGAAGAAGCGTTGTGGAAAGAAGAATTGAAAGAGTGTATGTTGTTCCCATTTAGCATCGATCTACGCTAAAATAAACACTTTAGTGGCTGATTTATGTATGTTTTTGGTTGGTGTGTGGGGATTCCCTCTATTGAGGTTTCATGAGTTCATCAATAATATTTTTCCTTTTTCGTTGAACATATTTTTGCTTTTTCTTTGTTGTTTATTCATTCATTAAAAGTATCTTTTGATTAATGGTAATTTTATCAAATTTCGTTACTCATGGAATTGTTCAACCGGCTAATAAAATCACGACATGGGAGTGTTGATTTTCCTCAATTATTTTTGTGCAAGCTGCTAATGAGGTCTGATGTTGAACTCGATTTTGAATCCTAAAACAAGTATATATGTTGTCAATTTGTTGAACTAACATAATTTTTAAGAAGCTCTGATTTGCAGAAACTTGACTTAACCTCAATGGACTTGACTTAAACTCAATGGAAAAATACTTATTGAATACCTCCACTTGTCCACATCTCGAATTGTTTGTTTATAACTGAATTATTTAATGCATACATTGACAACAAGAATTATATACATACATTTGGGGTCAATCCAAATTTCTGTGTTGCTTATTGGGTACCAAAATATATTAATATGATTAAGTTTATACAACTGCACATGATCGCAACAAGTAATTCAGCGGTGAATAAAGTATGTTCGACATAGATAACAGCAAGAAGTGAAGTTAAACCAATTAAAGCTTAAAGAATCTAGAATACAAAGAGTGATTAAAGTCTTAAAGTAGATTGTATCCAAAAAAAAAAAAGACTTAAAGTAGATATTGATACTATTAACATATGTATTTTTTTATGGGTTTTATAAGAGTTATGTTGTAGGAAAAGTGATTGTGTAATGTTATAGAGATTCGTTTTGCGTGCCGTAATTTCTTTTTTTTTTCTTTTTTCTTTAAAAAGTGTGGGCCCACAAAATATTATGTGTGCAGAAAAGTTTGTTGTGTCATGTTAAATGAGAAATGTAAATCCCTTTTTTTATACATAAAAATTTCTCTTTTTTTATTATTTGTTTTACTGGCATTGCCACCTCATAGTTTGTTATAACAAACTTTGGCAATTGATAGGATATATAAATGTAAAACCTCCTTGCATCTTCTGTGCAGCATGACTCAGAAATGAAAGAAATATTCACTTTTACTTTTCCTTCTTCTGGTGTATGTTCTAACATGGTATCAGGTGATTTTATTTAGCCCTTGTTCTTAATGGCTCGTGGCAATAGCAACCGATCCTCCAATTCGGATTTCACCTCTAATCCTTTTGTCCATACCTCCCATGTTCCTATGGAGGATTCTACTAGCCCCTATTTTCTTCACAGTGGTGATCATCAAGGCATTGTCTTAGTTACTCACATTCTCACTGGCTCTATTTTCAATTCTTCGAGTCGGTCTATGCTTATTGCTTTGACTGCCAACAACAAATCCTGTTTTGTAGATGGATCTTGATACGAAGAGGGCTAGAAGGTTGAAGAGTGCACCCTTGTGGGTTAAGGATTTTAGCACTAAGTAACCAGACCATCGAATGTTAAGGCTTGGTTACTGTTAATAGCATGTAAAATAGGAGGTTAGTTGAATAAGTGATGGGTTGGTTAGTTAGTTAGATGAGGTGGCAAATTCTGTTAGAAGTAAGTTTTTGTTTATAAACACTACACATGTACAAACGTGTCATGGATTGAAATATACTGAAGTTGTTCTGTTTTTTTTTGTGCTTTTTTTGTTCTTAAGGGTTCTGCACCCTTAACATTGGTGCTTTCAACTTCTTGATACTCAGTGGCATCATGCGGCTTCAGGAGGTGGCGGAGGAGTTAGGATCCTTCCAATTGCGGGTTGATCGAACTTTAGAGGAGATTCAACAAAAGTTCACCGATCATCAAAACCAATTTCAGACCATTAATACTCAGATTCAACAGATGCATGCGGTGATTGTTGGAGGAGATATTCGAACGGGCGAGCATGCACAACCGCGAGTTACTCCAGGAACTTCGAGTAATGACAACAATGGAGTAGTGCATTCCAGGTATGATCCGAATGATCCACGTAACATCATAAAATCCATCAAGATCGAACTACCTTCCTTTATGGGTACAGATCCTGTTAGTTGGATTTTTAGAACTGAGATGTATTTTGGATTACATCAAATTCTGGAATCCCTTAAGGTTCGTTTGGCTAGAATGAAAATGGAAGGAATGGCTGGACCATGGTTTCAATGGCTTTTTAGTGGTGGTTCCATTCAATCGTGGGAGGAATTGAAGAGTGCTGTGAAGCATCGATTTGGAGGCACAACTTATACTGACTTGCGTGGGGTTTTGTCCAAGCTCACTCAAGTGGGAAACCTTAGTGAATACATTCGGGACTTTGAAGCTTTGATCAATCAAGTAACAGATTTTTCTGATGAGGTTTTAATGTCTTTTTTTGTTTCTGGTCTATTGCCAGACTTAAAAAGGGCCATTCAACTTCATAAACCAACCTCTCTTAACCAAGCAATGCAGTTAGTTATGACTTATGAGGCTCATTTTGCTGAATTAAGAGGCTCATTTTCATCCTATAATAAGAAGTTTACTCCAAAACCTATATCCATCGTGGAGCAGTGCAATTCTACTATCCCTCAGGTGAAGCCAATGGCATCCACTTTACCAGCCTTGCCTTCTAATGTGCCTGTTAAGAAAGTGTCACAAGAATATTTACAAAAGAGAAGGGATATGGGACTTTGCTACACATGTGATGAGAAATGGAATTCTAAACATCGTTGCAAGGCTAGGATGATGATGTTGGTGGGAGATTTTGATGAGGCTAAAACAGAATTGGAGGAACAGATTGTCTGGCAACCTGACCAAGGTCCACAAGAGATTCAGGATGCAGCCCTCCATTCCATGGGCAGTGATTTGAATCCCAGGGCTTTGCGGTTCCACATTTCTATTGGCTCAAGGTTAGTCACCATCCTTATTGATTCAGCTAGTACGCATAATTTTGTGCAAAAGAATATTGTTGAGGAATTGGGCTTGCCAATGATCAAGGTTCCTAGGATGCGGGTTTTTTTGGGCAATGGAGAATTTCTAACTTGTGAGAGGAAGTGTCCATCTATTTCTCTTAATATACAGGGACAAGTATTTGTAGTTGATTTGTGGGTAATTGAGCTAACCCAATTGGGAATTGTATTGGGAATTTGTTGGCTGAGTTCCTTGGGCAGGGTGATACAAGATTATAGTGAGATGTCTATGGAATTTGTTTGGAATCACAAACGAATCATATTAGTGGGAGAAAACAAGAATGAGGATTCCAGGAGTCTGGAGGGGATATGTAATGCATTAACAGCAGCTGTTGTTCCTGCTGATTCCTCAGCACATCAATTTCCTGAGCTTCTTTTACTACAGGATCAAGTACCCTCTGCTGTTTGGCACGTTTTGATGCAATACCAATCTGTATTCCAATTGCCACAGGGCCTCCCTCCTTCAAGAGCTTGTGATCATGCAATTCACCTTGTTGAAGGAGCAAAACCTGTTAGTGTGAAGCCTTATAGGTATGCACATCACCAAAAGAATGAGATTGAGAAACAAGTAGCAGAACTTTTAGCTACACGTTTTATTAAGACCAGTCACAGTCCATTCTCTTAACCTGTGTTATTGGTGAGAAAACAAGACCATTCTTGGAGGATGTGCATTGATTATAGAGTATTGAATCACATCACCATCAAGGATCGTTTTCCAATTCCCACCATTGATGAGCTATTAGATGAGTTGAAGGGTGCTGAATTTTTTTCAAAACTGGACTTGAGGAGTGGTTACCACCAAATTCGGTTGGTTCCTCATGACACACCAAAGACTGCATTTCGAACCCATGAAGGGCATTATGAGTTTTTGGTGCTGCCTTTTGGGCTAACTAATGCACCCTCAACCTTTCAAAGTGCTATGAATCAAATGTTCAAACCTTATTTGAGGAAGTTCATCATTGTCTTCTTTGATGACATTTTGATTTATAGTGCTTCTTTTGGAGACCATTTGGAGCATTTACAATTGACACTTGAATGCTTGAAGCAGAATCAGTTTGTGGTTAAATTGAGCAAGTGTGGTTTTGCATTATCAGAAATTGATTATTTAGGCCATATTGTTTCAAATGGAGGGGTGAAGGCAGATCCAAGGAAAATTGAGGCAATGCTACTTTGGCCTCAACCAAAGACTGTCAAGCAGTTAAGAGGTTTCATTGGCCTTACTGGATACTATAGAAGATTTGTAAGGCAATATACAGCCTTAGCAGCTCCTTTGACTGATCTGTTGAGGGCTGACTCCTTTTCTTGGAATGAAGGAGCTTCTACAACATTTATAGCTTTGAAGGAGGCCATGTCTTCAACCCCAGTTTTAGCTCTTCCTAATTTTTCCTTACCATTTATCATTGAAACAGATGCATCATCAATTGGAGTTGGGGCTGTGTTGTTACAACAAAAGCATCCAATTGCGTTCTTTAGCAAAAAGTTGGGGGTGAAAATGCAGTTGGCTTCCACTTATGTAAGGGAACTATATGCTTTGACAGAAGCTGTTAAAAAATGGAGACACTACTTGCTAAGGTCCAAGTTTGTCATTAGAACTGATCATCGAAGTCTCAAGGAACTATTGACTCAAACAATTCAAACACTTGAGCAGCAGAAATATGTGTGCAAATTGATGGGGTATGATTTCACCATAGAATATAAATCTGGAGCTTCCAACACTGTTGCAGATTCCTTATCCAGAAGGGATGAAGGGGAGGAAATTACATGTACCTCTTTTTCTTTAATCTCTCAAGTGAGTTTTGATATTGTCAATCAAATTAGGGAAGAGAATATTTCTGATACTGAACTATTGGCATTGCATCTGAGAATTACAAATGGGGACCACACTAATCCTCACATTACAGTGAAGGATGGACTTTTCTTTCAACAAAATAGATTTTTACTGAGTTCCAATTCCAAGTTGAGTCAGGATTTGATTAACGAGGCTCATGCAACTCCTCTTGGGGGACATGCTGGCATTACCAGGACCTTGCTTAGGCTATCTGCATCATTTTATTGGCCAAACATGAGGAAGGATGTCACCACTTTTGTTAAGCAGTGCTCAGTTTGCCAGTTAATCAAGACTGCTACCACACCTCCTCTTG